AATACTCAGGTAGGCTTTGGTGTTCAACTAATGTTCTGTTGGTACTAAGAGGCCTAAAGTATGCCAAGACAACATCTCTCACACCATTACACCACTAGCAGCATGAACTGGATCCACAAGGCAAGATGGATCCATGCTTTCACATTTTTTGACAGGAACCATTCTAATGTTGCCACAGAAATTACGACTCATCAGACCAGGCAATATTTTTTTGTTTTAGTTTCTCGGTGAGCCCTTGCAAATTGTAGCCTCAGCTTGCAGGCTGACGGGAGTTGCTTCCAGTGTGGTGTGGTGAAGGTTAAACAGTCATATTCTCTTGTTCTACCCATTCTCTTTAAACCCTATAATGCCTAGAAATAGTCATGTGGTCGTCTCTGAAATACCCAGATCAGCCTATTTGGCACCAAAATCCACGCCACATGCAAACTGACCTAAATGACTTTTATTCTTTATTTAGATTGAACTCTGACAGTTCATCCTGACCTGATTAGATGTTTGTGCTAATGAGAAATTGAAATACAAAGTAACAGTACGTTTGGACTTTGTACTCCAACTTCCTCCAAAATGAGATGATGAGATGAGATAGCCTTTATTTGTCAGCTGCAGGTCTTTTGCCCACAACCGAGATGACAGACCTTGCCTACATACAATATACAAACATCACATTGGGGAGACAGGTCAGGCCAGGTAGCGAGGAAAAAAACATTGAAATGTGTAACACAAAAGGATAATACAGGAATGCACACATATCAACAAACCATAGCACAATAAACACAGACAAGCAACATGGGAAAGTGTTCCAGTGTGTACATCTGATATGGGACCGCTGCAATCTTTCGACTGCGCCTCCAACTGACCCGATGTCCACATCAGAGGGGAGGTAAGCGTTGGAGGTGGCGTTGGATCCGGGGTAGGGAGGGTGATGCGTCGGTGAGTGCTTATCAGTATCAGTATATGTATGTGTGTGCGCGTGTCCATAGTTCAGCTGAGACAGTGTCCTTCGCCCTGCCAGACTAAGTAAACAGTCTTCCAGCCAACCCTGGTGGCCTTGCATGGAATGGGAAGGAACAGACTAAACACAGTCGTTATCAGGGTGTTTTGTTCAGCTCTGGCCTTGCAGCTGGCGCCGAGAGGGTATCCGCATGAAGTGATGGTATGTTTTACTTTAGTGCGAACAGCTCATATGAATTTCAAAGCAGTTCTACAGTCCAACACTGGTCTCTCAATCTCCCGTTGGAGAGCCGCGAGCTTCGCCATACTTGCGTTCTGTGATGTTGTCATTTCTTGTGCTCAAGGAGCCAATTTCTGAGAACCCACGGCAGTGTGCCTCCCCGAGATGTCATCCAATTT